CTGAGGATGTGCGCATATCCCGCGAGCAACATCCTCGGGATTTATCCCAAGGATGTTTTTGTGCTATGTGGGTATAATCTTTCAGTCTTAATGTAGTCTTTTTACCTTTCAAATGTTCCCTTTTCAAATCCTTGATTCTAAGAATTCCTTTTCGGCACCATTGATGAAGACAGGCAGACATTTCTGTTATGGGGGAACTTTTATCCAGATTGGAGTACCATGTTGTATTGGATCCATCTTCTTCAACGGCACACAGTGATTGGAAGCGAAACGATGAATGTTAGAATAGATGAAAATGAACTCATTCTTAAACAAATGATAAAGTCTCATCGAGTGCTAAAAAGAAGTCCTTCCTTTTTGTTCAATTTTAATGATGTCTTTTAAGACATCATTAAAATTTAACTCTTTTGCTTGGATATTTTTGGAAATTCTGGGATTGTATCACCCATAGAATCAATCTAAGAATGGATTTTCTCAAGATTATCAAAGGTAAAGATTTCCTTTTTAATGAGTCTTAGAAGAAATGATGTCTTAAAAGATATCATTAAAAACGAACAAGGAGGGAGGTTTTTTTTTAATTCATAGTAAGAGTTCCTCTGAGATATTTCCAGCCGATGAGACTTAGCCATTTGTTTAAGAATGAAGTCTTTTTTAACCTATCCCGGTTTCGCTTCAGATTATCGTGGTTACATTCATGGTTTCGCTTCAGGTCACTGCGTGCGGTTGAAGTAGATAGGTCCAATACAACATGGTCCTCCAATCTGGATAAAAGTATTACCATAAAAGGAATGTCTTCATTAAAGCCATGTAATCTTTTACATTTCATTGGTTTCCTTTTCACTTCAAGGAATTCTTTTTGGTACCATTTCCGTTTTTGTCTTGTCTAACTGATCTATGGCGCCATTGCTGAGTAAGCGATGATTATTACGTTTACAATAATTGAAAATTGGTGTCTTAACACTGTCAGTTTATTGATATTGTTTTGCGTTTGGCAATTTGTTCTTGCTTTTCGTGAAGTTCCTTTTCAGTAATAATATGGAAATGTAAAGCTTTCTGTACAAGAGAGTAAGATTTTTGTACTTTTCTTGTAATTTTTCAATGTGAATGAAATATGTGTAGTTTGCTGATTATTATTTTAAAAACGTATTTATTTATTTATTTTTGTAATTCATATTGGTGGTCCGCCAAATATAAAATTCTATATGTAGTGGTCCGTGAAGTTCTAAGGGTTGACGACCGCTGGTCTAGACTGTTTGTTTTCTTTTGTTTTATGCAATTAATCCATAGATATAAATTTTGTTCGAAAAAAAGTGAGGGACTTTTTTCCCTTAACCGAAACCGCAAATTTCGGGCACGTTTCTTGGGCTCAAAGTTCTGCTAGCGTAAATGAACTGTATGTACTTAAAAGAGAAATCTAGATAAATCATCGAGACAGGAAAAGCTGTGCTAAATGATAATTTAACATAATTATTGTAGCGACGCATAAGTCATTAGGAGCATCGTTTCCACTTTATTTAAAATTTTAGACTAAGTTCGAGTAAAAAGTTAGAAGAAAGAATATTCATTATACAAGTGCGCCCATAAAGTAAACGGACAATTTCATATAAATAAGAGAAATATTACTAACGTTCGAAGCTCTGTTATCAGGTTCAATGTTCCTTCTTACCTTTTCGGGAAACATACAAGGACCTGACTCGGAACAGAGAGCTTACTAAAGCTATGTTCACTAATTGTGGTAAGTAGACAGGATACAGACGAAGGGTATACAAAACCCTTTATTTTTTCTCTTATATACAATAACTTCCGTACTTCGGAATACAATGACCCGCCACTCGGGGTCTAACGTAAAAGTATAAAAATAAAACTAAACTCTAATTTAACTTTAGAATAATAAACGTGGAAGATTGGCCTTATATTAACAGGAAGGCGTATGTAGTACAGATAACTGAGAACACTACAATACGTTTTAAAAATTTATCAAGAGGATTAAAACCTCTGGCCTGGAAGGCAACAAGCAACTGCGTAACTTCTAAGGTAAGCGGCCTGCTTCGAACTCACTGCTTCCTCCCTCGCTTGGCAGAAAGCCACAACTTAAATACTTGGCGTTCGCCAGACAACTTTGCATAAAAACCTTAACGCTTATAATTCTGGCCGGAAGTAGAAAATAAGAAGTGATAGTAAAGATTTAAAATAAAAATAAACGTTAGTAAAACTTAAGATCCTTACACTGTAACATAACATTTTTCATTAATTTTCGTCTATATGTGTGGATATAAGAAAGGAACAAGATCTGTTCAGCTTTTCTAACAATAACTGTTAAATGAAGTGACTCTGAGAAAGCTCAAATACTGAAAAACGATGATATTTTTCGAACAATTTTCATATTAATGACAAGTTTGGTTCAGGAAAAGGAAAAAAATAACTGTAAGAAATGACATTGGGCTTTTTTTTTCTTTTCTGTATTTGTCATTATGTAAAGGTTTCGAAGTCAGCCTTTTTATTCGTTTAAATTATATTTTTTCCAATCCTCAGCCGACTTCGCCAGTGCTAAGACCAGAAGAGGTGGTCACTTTATTATGGAGGCACTTAATACGTGTATAAGGCATTTTTCCCACCTTCTTAGCATGCCTTCGTAGTGTGGGGATCTGCACGCTGGGCACGTATTCCAAAAGTCCGTGGTTGAATTCCCGGGGAAAGCGTTGCTTATTTTTCATCTTTCCTGCTTCAAAAAATATTCAGTGTCTCTACAATGGCGCCCGAAAGGCTGGTGGATGGTGATTCTCCATACCCAGGATTTGGCGATTGGATCCCATAAAATCCCAGTCGCTCTTTAAAAGGGAGAGTATATAAGGTAACTCCCCCCTTCTTAGCGTGCCTTCGTAGTATAGTGGTCCGCATGCTGGGCGCGTATTCCTGACGTCCTTGGTTCGATTCCCGGCGAAGGCATTGCTCATTTTTCATCACTCCTTTCTAAAACTACCTAATATCTCTACAGTGGCGCCTGAGCTAAAAAGGTGCTGGATGATGACTCTCCACACTCAGAATTTGGGGATTGTGTCCCCTAAAAAACCCCAGTCGCACTTTAAAAGGGGAAATGTATAAGATATTTCTCCCACCTTCTAAGCATGCCTTCGTAGTGTGGTGGTCTGTATGCTGGGCGCTTATTCCAGAGGTCCGTGGTTCGATTCCCGGCGAATGCGTTGCTCATTTTTCAATCTCTCTTGCTTTCAAAAAAATACCTAATGTGGCACGTACAGGTGGGTCACTTTTACCTCCTATGAATGGTAGTCAGCTAGCCTAACTACTATATTGTCTGGACGGCTATTCGTTTATTCTTGAAGAAGAAATGCTTCGAAGGAGAGATTTATTATATTTCCAGGAGAAATTTTTTAACTTAATTGGTTTCTACAGTTAAGGCTTAGCTGGCGATTTGCTAGTTTTTTTTTTTTTTTTTTTTTTTTTTTTTTTTTTTTTTTTTTTTTTTTCTATAGGTGAATTGTCTATACACCAATTAATCTTTTAAGCGACGCCAATTAATCAGACGCGATAATGGATAATGGTTCTAACTACCGTCCCTAAGAGACCGGGTTCGAATCCCGAAGAAGGCATGAATGTAAATTGTCTGTCCCTTTATAGGAGGTAAGAGTGGTGCCTCCATAATAAAATGACCACAGCTTCTGACCTTAGCAGTCGCCAAAGCGTAAAATGTCTAGTGTCCACTATAAGAAAAATGTGTTTTATATACAGCATCCTTATTCAAACTTCATTTTCGCAACCGTTAGTCGTAAACTTCTAATTACGAAAATGTTTTAAATGACGCGAATATTCATATTTCGAAGTTTTAAATTTACTGAAATCTATTTTAAAATTACGAAATTGAACTTCTTATACATTTCTCAGTTCCCTATACGAATATTTACTTATGAAATTCTTTAATTAATCCTTTACTTATGAAAAATAAAACATAATCGGCTTTACGTTACCTACGTCAAAAACTGACCGAAATGTTTAATTTCAAAATTTTGCAGTTTTTGATTTCATTTTGAATTTCCATTGAGGGGTCGGTTAATAAAAAAATTAGAATAATTCTAGAGTGCTTTCCGTCTTCCCTTAAATGGCATTCAGTGATATTCTTTTGTGATTTATACATGTCTTAAACTTATAATTTTGTTAAGTTTGCTTAGACGAATGAATTTTCACTCAAGTGCTTTAAATAAAAGTGTAAAAATACGCTGTTAATAATCCTAAGAATTTTATTACTTTAGAATCATGATTTAGTAATCTTACAAAAATTCATTAAAGTAGAACTAATTCCTCTTTTATTTAATGCGGATAGAATTATGGGCTGGCTACGTGCTTGGAAGTGTTTTCTGGAATAGCATTTCTAAGATTTTAAGAATAAGATCTCTATACTTTGACTAAAAGTTTATTTCAATCAATAGTTTCCGCAATAAACTGCATAGAAATGTTCGTAATATGACCAATCAACATCAGAAACCTTGTTCTAAACCGATATTTTACTTTTACTTATGTGGAAATGCAAGCGTTTCTCTCATCAGGTGGTGCCTCTGAACCAGACTGTGAATAATTGTAAGTTTTATCTACTGCTCATAATGGAGGAAATAGTTAGAAAGATTAAGTCAACAAATTATATGAGGATGCTAGAGCTTAGTTCTGGATATTTTCAAACATGTGAAAAACTAGAAAATGTGCCAAACACTGCATTTATTAAACAGTCAGTTAAGCCTCAAATTATCAGATTATTGATAATCTCTTTTTTATGCAAAAATAACAAAGGCAATTAACGAATTAAGACCGTTTTCCCAGCCCGTTTAAGATTGTGTATTTTGAAAGAATTGCACGAATCATCAATTTCACATCATCTTGGCATCAGAAAAATCTGACGGGCACCACATGACATTCTTATACGAGCTATTCAATTATACACACTTTTAAGTGAAATTAAATAAAGTTAAAAGAAAAAAAAATTGGACAGGTGATAAACAAGAAAAAAGTAATTTATCAAATGAAAGAAAAGAATCTGAATGAATTTTGCATGGTAATCTTCATAAACCTTAAAAATGTTCTGCGTCTCTTGAAGCTCCTCGGCTGTATTTACATAATGCACGTGAGTTTCGAATAATAAAAAGCTCAGTGCTTCTATAAAGATGTATACGAGATGCATGGCATGGCAATGAGGAAGGAAGGATGACATGAATTTTTCCATCTGGGTTTCCATTCTAAAAAGCAAGCGAAAGTCTTCAGATGCTACCCTCACACTTCCTGAAAATAAATAAATAAAATAAAAAATAAATAAAATAAAATAAAATAAAAAATAAAAAACCTTAAAGATGGGTGAAATACATGAATTTTTAACATCACATTCATATTTGTTTCAATTAAATAAAATACATTCTTTTCAATAAATCCTTTCCAATCCAAGAATAAAGTTACTTAAAACTGGGAAGCACTCATTGCCAAACAGATAAAGCTAAATTATATGAATTATTAAAACTATGAAGTTAATTTTTTCATTACTTGATTTCTAAAAAAATGCTCATGCAAGGAAATTTTAATTTCATTGAATTTTATGAAATTTTAACTTATTATTTCGCTTAAAATTGCTATGACACATTTTTTGGTCACGAAATAAAGCAAAATAATCTGAAAGAATTCAGATTTTAACGTATCACCACAATATTTGTTAAAATTTTATGCTGTTGCTAAGCATCACATGTTACCAACCTGCTCTTTCACTTACTCCTGGTAACACATCTTTCTTTTCTTACTGGGAGGACAGTCTACAAATTACGTGCAAAAGTAGCTCAGCTTGTAAGAAGTTTCACCTTGTAAGTGCTGTTCTTTGCGGTGAAAAATCTGCAAGTTCCAGTAATTTTGGGAATGGAGTTTTTAAAAAAAGCGGGAGCTAAAATTATATTTCATGTAGCCACTGTATAGCTGGATATGAATGACGTAAATGAGACAGAAACGCACCCCTACGCCATCAGGTTGAAACACTTGAAGAGCAACGCAAGCTGACGCAGTCGCTAAGTTATTTTGCTAAATTATTTGATGATGTTCCTGGTGTAACATGCTCTTCCACTCAGTATACACGGTGCTTCTAAATGAAATACTTTCTCTAGATTGGCAACAAATGTAGTATTCTGTTGTTTCAAATGTAAACAAGCAATGGCCGACATGGCAAAAATTATTAGGCTTAGCGGCACTTAAATAACTTTTAAATTGTTGAAAATTCTAAACCCATTGCATACAGATTTACTAAAGGCATAAAAACCTTAACCGGAAGATAAGGACAGCATAATTCAATCATTCTTAAAGCAAAAAATGCAATTTACTATAACATAAGAATAACGAAACTGACATCACTAGCCGAGTGACAGAGTTGATATATGTATACAAGTATTTATATACTTTTGGTGTGGCCAATTGCAACCAAAAATATAAGGTGCACATTTGCATGTTATAGCAGTCCTATATACAAAATTTCGACGTTCTGAGGCTACTCGTTTTTGAGTTATGCGAGATACATACGTAAGTACGCAAAGACGCCACGAAAAATTCCCTTTAGAATTTATTTTAAATTAGTTTTACAATTTTTTGAGGGACGTACTTCTGTCCTTACGTACATCTGTCAAGCAACATCGTTGAATTGCATTAGATAGCGGTGAAAATGGATATTTGCTCGCTATAAATGGAAAATTCGAGTTTTAACGACTTTTTCGTGCGAGACTTGGCGAGAGGGACTTGCTTGCTGAACTTACTTTTGGACGTTACTTTTTGCCCGACTTTGGACTAGTTTTGTTGAAGGATTTAAGACTTTCAGGAATTAAGAACTTTTTTTGCCGGACTTTCAAGGCTGAAGGATTTGTTATGTTCTGAAAGAATGGTTGAATAAGTGGTGAGTCAGGCGGATCGTGGCGGACACTATCCGGGCCGTCGCTTTGCTGTCGAAAAGAAAAAAAATGATCCAGCGAGTATGAAGTATTAATTTCCAAAATTATTGGCCAAGTTCCACCCCGGCCAACATGAGATTTGATACTCGACATCCTGACTGCGAGCTTGAAGATTCTGCTCGGGTGCTGGTTTCTAGGGCTTGTTTTTCTGCGAGGCTGTGCGAAGCGGATTTTGGTTGCCGAAAAATCAATTGGAGTCAGGTGTTATTAGGAATTGCGGCTAGTGGCACCGAAAAGCGTGAGACTCCTTAGACGCCTGTGTTCCCCTTACGGAATGAATTTCTTAGGAATTATGGTGGAATTATAACCCTTTGAATTTTCTCCCAGAATGCAAGGCCAGCCCAATACCTTTCCGGGTGCGTTTCAAGTCGTCATTATCACAGATAAGTGCTTTATCAATTTTCCTTAGAATTTTTGGAAATTGGAACTTTACCTAAAATTGAATCTTAAATTCAGTCTACTGAAACTGGATTGCTTCCTTTTTCCCCTTCTTAATTTACTGAGACAAACCTTGAGGTCTTTATATGAATAAGAATGTAATAATTTAAGTTGTATGTGTAATCTTCCTTAGAACAGATGTGAATTGCAAATAATATGTTTTCCTTAACCTCTTAGAAATTATAGATCGGGTACCCGTTAAATTAAAAGAGTCATTTAATAGATTTGCAATCATGAATTTAAATGTAACACAAAGTAAATGACAAATTGAAGAATTCCCCTGTGTCTAAAATAAGTAAATTAAAAGGTAACACAATTAAGAAATTAGAACTCTCTGATGAGGATAAGATTAATTTTTATTGTGAGGAATTTGAATAAACTGATATTAATCTGGAAACGTATTACTAAAGTTTCTTTATATCTTTCATATGTTTTCTTATGTTTACGATCCTCTCACGGCACGTTCTTACATAACATTGGTGCCGTGACCTCTGCTTAGTGAGGGATCGGATCAAGAATTGAATTTGGATTTTGAATTTTACCTATTTTGTGTAATTTACTGTTTTAATGAAGAGTTAAGTCTATGTGCTAGGATTAATTAGAGTTTTTGATTTGTGTTTGCTTATTTGTTAATACGAGAGTGATAAATTTTGGAAATGTATGTGAATTTCAGGAATTTTGGATTTTAACGTTATGCAAACAGAATTGAACTTTAAAATTAGGAAAAATATATATTTTAATGTAGCAAAATAGGTACTGTACATTTTTTACTGTTGAAAATCCTTGAGTGTTTTCTGGATGTATATTTTTGATTTCTGATACAAGATAGAAAATGAATTATTTCACGATAATCCTATGCTATTTGTATATCCTTGTAACAAGTTTCGAGTGCTTGTCGGTAAAAACTGGACTCATTTTTTGAGCACTATTAAGAGAGCGAGACTTAAAGACTCTAATTATTTTACTGAATGAGACAAGCCATAGCTATGCGTAGCTAGAAATTTTTTTGTGTTTTTGCTACTTATTTAACCTAGAATCTTGTGAAATGTGTAATTGTGAGGGGTAACGTTAGAGTAATTTTAAATTTTTTGACTTAATTGAATAATATTTTGTGAAATGTATGTAATGTTTTCATGATTATCTAGCTTAGTATTTTATTACTTTTGATTTACAATGTTTTGATATGATTGCAGTATTGTGTTTGTAAATTTAATTTAGTATTGAGCAATGAATTTTATAAGTTCTGAAGGCATAATGATACAAATGAATGAGTTAAAAAAATTGTAGATTGTTTTTCAATTGCCAAATTCTGTTTTAAGGTTAACATGGGTGAGATTTGAATTTTTTGCCTGAGATCAGCAATAGTGATGTTTGGTCATTTAATTTTTTTGGATTGAATTCTTCAGCTTGAGTGAAGTTCTGATTAGTTAAATGAGTTAGAGTAATCGAGATTAGTAATCTTCCGAGTTTTAAGGTTGTGAAAAGTTGTCAGGTGAGAATTGTTTAAACAGTAGAAATTTGAGTTTAGTCTTGTGAATTGTAGAAAGTGAATGAGAATTTTGTGACAACGGGAATTTGTTTTGTGAAAATTTTTGAAATAAGTTTGAGAAGATTAGTTACTTTTGCTCTGTACTCATGTATGGGAATTTTCTGTTGATTACAAGTAGTTTGTCTTGAATTTGCTAGTGAATCGTAATAGATTTGATTGAGTTATTGAATTTCTTCTTCGTTGGACTTGTTGCTGAATTTGGGGTTAATTCTTGTTTTGGCTTAAGTTTTGTATTTGACTTGTTAGTGTCAAGTTGGTTGTATCAGGCTTTTGTTTTGTTTTTGGTGGTTTCTGCCAAGGTGCATAAAATGTAAGTTCTCTGGTGTTTAGTTTCTGTGGAAGAATTGAGATTTCTGTGGTCATAGGAAAATAGTAGAATTTGAGTTATGGATTTGATTGTGAGATTTTTAGGGATTTTGAGTTATGAGTATTTTTTTAGTTTAGCACTTTTGAGAACTTTGCATTTGTTGCTTGCAGTTAGGTCTTGCGTGAAGTTGTAATGTCCTGAAAGCTCGTTTTTTTTTTGTAAATACTTGCACTTCATGGTGGCACTTGACCTCTTACACCGGGAGAAACAGGAACTTGTTATCTGAGAAAACTATTGTGGTATCATTTTCATTGTGTTGGTTCAGGATTGTAACGTTTCAGTCAGCGCACTTTTCTTTCCGAGATAAGAGATCTTATGTTCTCTTTCAACGTGTCTGGGGGTTTGCTTGATACGTAAAGTTTGAGCCTGTCATTTATAATACAGCGCTTTTCTCAGCTTACATGGACGCGGTAAAGAGTTACTTTGTTTCTTTTGTGTGGGTAGAAGTGTTGCTGAAAGCTGTTACCTAGGTTACTATACAACGTTTTGGAAGAGTCTGATGCAGAATAGATCTCAGTTTTTGCCTAAATTGGGGGGGTTGTTTTGAACACTTTGTTGATTTGTGATATTTTATTTAGTGTTCTAGTAATGTGCTTCAGTCCAGCTTTGATTGATTTCTTTGACTAGGTTGAATTTTTTTTTTTCTCTTGGACTTAAGGGATTTTTAGAATTACTGAAATTTTTGTTGTCTAACTAAGGGGACTTAAATATGGTGTTGTTACTCACTAGTGTTTATCTTGAGGTTTGAATTTTTTAGCGACACTTCACTCTTGCTGGTTGATTTTATTTTTTTGGATTGATTTGGATTACAGTGAAATATTTTTGACTTGATATGGTTTAACATAATGATTATGTGTATTTGTTTAGGTATTGCAGTTTAAAATTTTTTTTAAGTATCACTATCTCATTGCTTATTTGAATTATGTACGAAATTTTTACAGTTTAAGTGTATTTTCATTTTATGTGTATATGTGCATCTTGGTAGTATCTGTTTGTAAATTTTGGCCAAACGTTATTTTGTATATGCATTAGGTTATATTATGATTATTATTTTTTGTGTGTCTTGGATAAAATTCTAATTGGTATTTATACAGCGTATTCGTTATGCTATTTTCGGAATTGATTTTGGTTGGATTGAATTTTTGGACAATCACGTTTTCTTTCTTTCTGATTTTTGTGTGGGGTATTTTCGGCTGGTTCCGAGGTTCCTTGTGTTGTACCGTTCTTTTCTTTTCTAATGCTTGGCCCTTCTGATCAGGCCGCTTCTGTTCTTAGACGTGATTGTTTGGGATTCATTCTTGGAAGTTATTCAATTTCGTAGTACTTAGGGGGTCTTTACTCCTTATTTGAATACGTTCATGTAACATATTGTATTTGGATTTGTTTGAATTATTAGTGTGTTTATTTTCTCAGGAATGTATTTTATGTATCTGCGGCGCGTTGATTATCTTATTTTTATTCATTTCGTTTTTTTTTTTTTTTTTTTTTTTTTTTGGTGTGAACAATTGGATTAGATTATTTCTTTCTTCGGGTGTGAGTATCCGAACACATTCAGTGGCTTATCTATCGTCAGGGAAAAATTGACAGATAAAGTCTTCTTCAACTTTGAAGAGGGATTGTTTTCTTGCTTGGTTGAAGGTGAGACGTAGGGGGGTGAAATCTGGTTTCTTTTTAGGTCAAGTTTCTTGGCTTGTATTCTACTAAAGGGTCAGTCAGCTGTTTGTTTTTCGAGCATTGTGATCCTCTACTAAAGGGTAGTGTGATGCTGAGTGCTTACATTACGGGGTTGTTGCTTTCACTTTCTCGGGTTAAAGGCTGCAGGGGGGAGTTGTTAACAAAATGATTTCTAACTACAGGGTTTTCCCTCGCTTGCATTGACAACTCCGTACTCATTTAATGTACTCCATGATTGTGCTCAGCACAAATAGTCACCATAGTAGAATGTGTTCGACCTCAGGTGAAATTGTTTACATTGGTGGACCTTAAAAAAAAAAGAGAATGAATAGATAAATAAACGTTCAGAAATGTGGCCACACAGAGACTGCAACACTAGTGTGATGTAATGAACTGGGAAAAAAAAAAAAAAAAAAAAAAAAAAAAAAAGGGAGAAGTTCTTTTTGTCATAAAATTATTGAATGCTTGATCTTAGACATATTTTGTTTGTGATTAACGCCTTATTTTTTTTATTTTTATTTTTGTATGTGTTCTGAATATTTCTAGGTTTAATTAATTAAGTGATTTAATTGATGTTTTTGATTAATTATTTTTGATGATCTTCCTTGAGTATTTTAATTAGCAGTTGCTTTGATTAATCTTGTTGTTTTGCTTGCACATGTTGGATTGAGATTCAATGTGTCAGTAACTTCACTCTTACCAAGGAGTCGTGTGAAATATTGTTACATTATGTTATCCTTTAGCCTTATTGCACAGTATGAGTCATGGTATTTCAAGAAGTGTCTGTCTTCTAAATTTTGGTACACCAAAATTTAATTCCTTAGGGGAAAGGAAAGCTGTGTAGAGAATTTGTCTGATAGCGTTTTAAAGAGTAGGTTTAAAAGATTTTCTGATTAATGGAAATCTTAATTTTATTTGATTCTGAATTATTTATTTTTAATGCTTTAATTTTGGGGAAAAACAGATGCTTCTGGGAATATTATTTAGTTTAAAGGATATTATTTATTTTCTTTTATTTGCAATTTTTGTACAAGCTTTGATTCATTGTGAAAAGAAGCAGGGAAAGGGAAGCAATTTTGCTAAGTCATGATTTCGCGCGCTTTGTCCTTTAGAATGTTCTAGAAGGAATTTCATTGTGTAGTTGACCTTAAGACAGGAAGTACGTGACAGAAGGGTCAGAGGTTTCCACTTGACTTTCGATGTAAGTCATTCAGGTTTTTGGCGATTGAGGGTCCGGTTGTTGGCTAAGTGAAGAAGGGCGCGCATGCGCGATCACACTTATTTTCCGCATTCAGGGGTTGAAAACGCAAATTTTGCCAAAATTAAGGGGCCGATAATTGAAGCCATAGTGGGAGCCCGCGTTTGTGAAAGAGAGGAAGAAAATTCGAGTTTTAACGACTTTTTCGTGCGAGACTTGGCGAGAGGGACTTGCTTGCTGAACTTACTTTTGGACGTTACTTTTTGCCCGACTTTGGACTAGTTTTGTTGAAGGATTTAAGACTTTCAGGATTAAGACTTTTTGCCGGACTTCCAAGGCTGAAGGATTTGTTATGCTTCTGTGGTTGAATAGGTGGTGATTAAGGCGGATTGTGGCGGACACTATCCGGTCGTCGCTTTGCTGTCGAAAAGAAAAAAAAAATGATCCAGCCAATTTCCAAAATTATTGGCCAAGTTCCACCCCGGCCAACGTGAGATTTTATACTCGATATCCTGACTGCGATCTTGAAGATTCTGCTCGGGTGCTGGTTCGAGGGCTTGTTTTTCTGCAAGGCTGTGCGAGCGGATTGTTTTGCCGAAAAAGGAATGGAGTCAGGGTTATTAGGAATTGCGGCTAGTGGCACCGAAAAGCGTGAGACTCCTTAGACGCCTGTGTTCCCCTTACGGAATGAATTTCTTAGGAATTATGGTGGAATTATAACCCTTTGAATTTTCTCCCAGAATGCAAGGCCAGCCCAATACCTTTCCGGGTGCGTTTCAAGTCGTCATAATCACAGATAAGTGCTCTTAAATTCAGTCTACTGAAACTGAATTGCTTCCTTTTTCCCCTTCTTAATTTACTGAGACAAACCTTAAGGTCTTTATATGAATAAGAATGTAATAATTTAAGTTGTATGTGTAATCTTCCTTAGAACAGATGTGAATTGCAAATAATATGTTTTCCTTAACCTCTTAGAATTATAGATCGGGTACCAGTTAAATTAAAAGAGTCATTTAATAGATTTGCAAATCATGAATTTAAATGTAACACAAAGTAAATGACAAATTGAAGAATTCCCCTGTGTCTAAAATGAGTAAATTAAAAGGTAACACAATTAAAAAATTAGACTCTCTGATGAGGATAAGATTAATTTTTTTTGTGAGGTATTTGAATAAACTGATATTTAATCTGGAAACCTATTACTTATGTGTTCTTTATATCTGTTATGTGTTTTTCTTATATAAATATTGATTTTACATGTTGTTTATTCGATCCTCTCACGGCGCGGTCCCGGATGCATTTTCACAACGCAATGCATTAAAAATTCACTTATACGATCACTAAAAGTTTGGTAATTAGCAAACCCTTAAGAGTTTAGTTTCGCAGTTAATATTTAGCTAGTTACGGTTTCACCTGTCTGTTTCTGCATTAGTTTAATACCAAATAGTCTGTTTCTGCATCTGCCTAAGAGGAAGTAGTAACACTGCATTGGTGCCCATGATTTTTACGGCAAAGTATAGAAACAGAACAGAAGTTAGATGGTAAGCGAGTGATAGACATTAAGCGATAATTCGCTTATCGTCTACCAAAAGTCTGGATTCTATTTGATGATTGCAGAACATAACAAACCTCGTAATCTTAAAGGTGGAGATCATTTTTCCAAATGTTCAGAGGTAAAACTATTCTTTTGAAATACATTTAAATATATGTGAAAATAATACTGAAATTACTGAACGAAAATTAAGAAATTTTGAGGAAAATTTTGAAAAATTATTTCCATCTTATACTCGCATAATGATCAATTATACTGGTATGATTGTTAACACCTAGATCGTTCAAAGTAAGATCTGTAAGTTAATTCGTCTGAAAAGGGAATTCATTTTAGAAATCCTTTCGACATTTCAAAAGGAGGTGATGCATAAAAATAACTAAAATAATCAGTAAATTTTGAAATTGTTATTATTTAATTGCAGTACTAAAAAAATCGAAAATTACTGAGTACTTACTAGTGTACTATAGTTATAAAGTACAGACTAAATTCTTGATTCTTTGCAGAGTATGCTGTCTTTGTTTTTTCACTAGGAAAGAAAAACAAATGTTTTATCATTTTGAGAAAAATATTCTTGTAAATTAAACTATCAAGTTTTCTTATGATTAGCTTAAAAATGTCTGCATTTCTTATATGATATGATTAGTAATCTTTCGTAATTATTAGAAACGAGAACCACGTACAGTGTTTGAACAAACATATGGGAAAACATGGTAGAAGAAATGCCTAAAATTACGAATGTTTTTTTTACTTAAAATTGTAAATAGTGTTCTAGTTGTTACATTTACTTATGTGGCCAGAAAACTTTAAATCAACAGCAAACCACTTCTGTTTCTAGAACATAACTCTACGCAGTTGTCAGCTTAGAATGTTTCTGTGAAAGCAAATTTAGCCCAAATGGCAGACGTTTCTGAGACCAAAATTATTTGGTGTCATACCAAATATACCAAAATTATTTGGTGTTAAAACCTTGGACCTAATGGGTCCAAGATTATAACCTCATATTCTAAGCATTATGGCTCTTATAGTGAAACTACATTCAAGGCTTATGATCTTACACTGTGTTTCTAGCAAAACATTGTTCAATAAATACTATTGTGACCGGAAGTGTGCATTGAGTAACAAAAAGAAAATGCATCGGAAAGACCTCAAACAAAAAGCGTAAGAACACATTTTTTGAGAAGATTCATTCATGCGTTTGATCCATACTGCCACCGCCCAAACGGTATGGTGGTTAGGGCAGCCTACTGCGGTATCGAAGGGCCCGAGATCGAATTAAAAAGAAGGTTGTTTGTAAACGTATAGTTACTTTGTGGCATGGGGACATTCTAAACATATGGGGAGGAGTGAAAGACTCTCGGACAACTCCGGGGTGCTCTTCCTAAAAACGAGCGTGGAACTAGAAGTCCGACCTCCTTGAGGCTCTGGTAACCATACTTTCGTGAAATGCAATTGCTTGCCAATATGAAGATGATGAAGGTTTTTTTAACAGGTTACTACATCATAATGTTCTGCTGTCGTTATTATTATTTTGCAAACTAGGACTACATTGGTATCGTTTACGGACAAAATTTCAAATATTTCACTGTATTTATTCACTTGTATGACTGTCAACTTGTATGACTATTTTTATGGTTCCTGAATTTAAAGAAAATTTTCGATTTAACTAATTTTATGTCAATCTTCATAATTCCGACTTGCATTTAAACGGGGCTTACTTTTGAGGAAAATTTTTTGAAAAATTTCAAATATTGGAATCCTATAAACATGATGGGGAAAAAATTTAAATTAGTCCCTATAAATATTATATAAAGATGTAAAATAGTTTCCTTTGCTCTTACCTTTATCGCCCAAAATAAAGAAAATCAATAAGAAATTCCAGGTAAAATTTCAGATACAGCTCCTAATCTCAATACGTAATAAAAACAGGGCTAAGTTGGAAAACTTGTAATTTATTAAATTATAATAAAGTAATGAATACTGCTGGATGCGTACGGGTTCGTAAAAATTTGAATGCACGTAGAATTGACGATAGTTTAATAAAAAGGACCACTTCACAGTTCTGGAACTTTCCACAAAAATACTCGTACAACTGTTCACAGTATCCCAAAGCACAATCAGCAGTTACACTAAAAACTACTTAAAACGTTAAACACAACGCAATACAAATCGCATCTAAAGAGCGAAGCTATCACGGATATTTCGATAACCTGAATTCAGCTCTGAACTAGCAACTACTGATAACAGAGGTTCTCTTCCGTCTTATACAGTTTTCATCAGGCCGCCGAAAAATTTCGAGTAAATTCAATTTCTTGAAATTACTGGAAGGCATATACGGTTAAAGTTACATATAAGGATAGGATACGGTTACAGTTGCATATATAGATTAATTACAGTTATTCAATTACAGTACCCATTAGAGTTATAGAGGGGCCGGACCAAAATGTAATGAAATTTGGTGACTTTTAACGCCACATTTGGCGACAAAAATTATTCACCCAAACCATCGCAAACTTGGCGATACCTTGCGAAATTAGTGAGATAATAATTTACTTTATGTTAAATAGACTTGCTCCTGTATTCTTATATTTTCGATAAAACATCGCCTCTTTAGATTTTCATGTTATACTCGTGTTATATATATATATATATATATAAGAAAACTACAGTTTCACTAAAATTTGTAAATTAATCCAATTCAAAACGAATTAACTAATACATGAAAATTTAATCAGCAAATTAAGTTTCCATAGTGAAGTAAATCCTGATGAATATATGATTTTTAGATTTATTACTTACGTATTTGCCTTTCTCCTGTACTTTATAAAGAACATGATTACTATCAGCAAGATTGTTCCTATAGATCCACTTGTTATCCATCCAGAATTGTCTGCATATATATTTATATAGTAAATTACAGTGAATTTATTTTATCAAATTTACAGTTACAAATTTCATTTCACGACGAACAGTAAAGACCAAAATCTGAAGTAATTAAAACGAATAAAATTAAAATTATTAATTTTTATGACTGTCGACAATATTTTTACTACCTCGTGCGAAGTATTGTTATTTTAGAAAAATTTCATGTGTCGTATTTCAACGAAAATATCCATTTTGACCACTCTTCAGTACAATTTAACAATGGTATTGAGTGAAAACTGTACGTACGGACAGATAAAAGAACTCTTTTTCCCGAAAACGAATTATATAATGGATTTAAAATGGACTCTGACCTTTTTCCTGACGTTTGTACGTATTATGTATGGATCTTGCGTAACTAAGAAAGTAAAAAGAGTAGCCTCAGAACAATGAAATTTTGTATACGAGGCTGCTATAACATGTAGTTTTTCACCTACCTTTTTTGCTAGCAATCGGCCGCACGAAATATATGTAAAGACAAATACTATATATATATATATACCCACTCTGTTACCCAGCTCGGTAAGCTCAGATTTTGTTATTCTTATATGTTGTTAAATTTTGCCTTTTTTACTTTGGAGGGGTTGAAATATATTATTCTTATGTTCCGGTTAAGGTGTTTATGCCTTTAGTTAATCTGCATGCAATAACTGTAGAATTATCAACAGTTTAAAAGTTGTTTAAATCTCGCTAAGCCTAACGAAACTGCCATTTGTTTACATTTGAAACTAAGTAGAAGAGTGAATTAAGTCAGTTGGTGCACCAACTTAAGCGTTTTTTTTTTTTTTTTTTTTTTTTTTTTTTTTTTTTTGTCAAGTGGGACCAAAAGTAAAATTTCACTTTTGTGCATTTAAAAGTCTCTCTTTCTGCCCGGTAGCCGAATTCTTATTTTTGCGTAGAAACTCTAATTTTAGGTCTAAAAATTGTTTTTGTTAAACTCGTTTTAACTGTGTTTGGTGTTTTATGTTTTTCTATATTTTACACATTTTAATGAAAATATTTTGAGTTTTTATGTATTTTTGCCTTGCTTCGAAGTTAGAAATTAATTGAACAAGAGAAAATCTTTAATGAAATTCCAGGAAGTAAGTTTAAATGAAATACAGCAAAATTGTGTGTAAGGAAGAATCCACTTCTGAATCCATTTTAAATCCATTAAATCCATTTTACAATTGGTTTTGGAGAAAACAGATGTCACGCAAAATCTCCCTTCAAATGGATTTGAGAGCAGTCAAAATGGATATTTTCGTTGAAATTATGGATACTCAATTTTCGTCATTATGATACTCCCTTTATTACGTACAGGAAAGAAAAAAGAGCTCTTTTAACAAGCTAAGCAGTTATAAATAACTCTAGAATAAAAACCAAAAGTACGGCAAAATTTTCTTCTCATATAATCAAATTTGTTCTCAGAGTAAAGTATTAATCATTGAGAAAAATCTCAGCAGTATATACACACACACTAAGAGTTAATTAAATTAACTCTACTAATCATCCTGTGACCGCTCACACTCATATATAGGGTTACTTGGGAATAGGAGAGTTAGTATTTCTGGAAACATTAAGAAAAATCACGCTTAGGGCTTGGAAAACGCATTTTCTGGAAAATTCTATGATGTCGCCATATTGGTAACAACTCGTCAAATGATAACAAATCGTCAAGTGTCGCGAATGTGGCGACGAAAATTGTCGCGTAGTCTCTGTTAAAGACTTCTGTCCACAGCTCGAGTTGAGTTGCGTTTACAATTGCAATTTATATCTATTCAAATTCAAAAGATCTACATTACAATACGTAAAATAACACCTAGAAACGCAATAGCAGAAAAATCAAGAGTAAATAAAATACGCAGTATTACAACATGAACGTTTCATGAAAAATGCATTAATAAAACTAGTGAGTAAGTAAAATTGAAGCAGATCACTACAAAAATATATAAAAACAAAATTATAAACAAATAACTACAAAACAGTTGAAAACCGATATAATGACTACTGTAATTATAGTGTACTAATATTGTATTATCATGTTGAAATGATCACTGTGCATTTCAAAATAATACAGTAACAAAATATTATTTATGAATGGATGCTTTTTAATGAAGGCAGAATTACTTAGAGTATCAGTAAAGCCTTTCTTTAACAGAAGAAACTCTCAGTATTGAAAAGTCTGAAAGCTTCTGATTTAAGTTGAATATTAAAGCTTTGTACAGACAGAATTTCTCTCAATTGCGTGCATAATTTTAGAATTTTAAAACCTTCATTGTTGTGGTTATTTTCGTAGAACGGTTAATTATGATACTTGTGGAGCACTAAATAATTAATTTGGTGCTTTTCCGTTTCGCCGGAGCAAATCTCGCCAAGCAGACTTTATTGGCGACAACATACAGTATACACATAAAAAATGTTAACAAATGTTAATCCTAAGAATTTTTTAGTTTGGATTTTATTTATTTATTTTTTTTTTTCATTTTAATATCGTTTAACATTTTGTAAAAAGGCAATAAATAAACACAATAAATTTGTAAAAAGACATTAATTTAGGAATTTACTATGCTTTCATGGTTCAACATCCTGATTCGTCGGTTCATATCACGTGACCCCAAGCGATCTCATGTCACGTAAACTAGGCTACAAAAATCTAATTCTCTCAGTAATTCTCTACATTAATTTCAAGTTAAATCTTGATTTGGAATACAAGTTTAAATGCAAGAATTATTTCAATTCGTACGAATAGCTTACTCAGAAATTATGTAAAACCGCAATGCTTTACTTCGCTAGTGCATTGACATTAGAATTGATGAATTTAATCTTTGACCTTGCCTTTTCCATATTTTCGCCTTCGGGTGAGATTGTATGGTTGCATCCTAATTGACTTAATTATCGCAAATGGCCTTAGGGCATAAAATTGCACTATCTGGTAAAAATTCTGTGTAATTGTATGCCAGTATTGAAAGAAACAATCAATACGAAATAGGTGTTTTGAAAACGAAGCGTAAAGGTTACCAGCAAGTATATTCTGTTTGGCAGCAGGTTTACCAATACTGGCGATTTTATCGCCTGCGCCGGCAAAACGAAAAAGTACCATTAATTCTAATATTTAATGTAGGTTGGCATGTTTTAAATAGCTTATATTATAGAACTGCTTTATTCTTTTAAAAATGACAGGGAGACAAAGTAAACAAACTTAATAAAAATTAGGAAAAGAATAGGCAAAATCGTATATTTTTTTCGGTATGGAAATTAATAATGCTTTCAAGATAAATTTTTAATTTTAACGCTTATTCAGGAAGTAAGTTTCCTAAATTCTTAACTACAAGATGGCAATGAGAATAAGAACAATTATAAACAATGTTGTCAATTTCATTACAGTCATGATCAGCTGCAAAATGCTCAAGTTTAACCTACTATTCGACAGAACCGATGTTACCCCAAACTGAAACTTGTTATTATTTATAAAAAATTTGCAGTTTACATTTCATTAATTTTTTTTGTCGCTATTAGTGTATTTTTAACTCTGATTGACAAATGTTTATAGATGAAAATGTGATGTTATTGAAAATTAACGTAAAGAAATTAATCAAAAATTAGAGTGTAAAATAATCAATAATCTGATTTTACCTTTCTTTTTCTATGCCATTTCTAGAGTAGTAGAATTTCCATAAAGTTTTACGTAGTCTCTTCGTATTCAAACTCTTTCTTTCGGTCGACTACAACTTATACGTGTATGATAAGAGACTTAGTTTGGTAATTATTGTTTCTGCCGTATATTCCTTTCATTAATGTGCACAAAATCGCAACCATATTTTAAAGGATGAAAGTAAAAAGGAAAATTTTAGAAAAGATAATAATTAGATTACTATACTCTAAATTAATGAATACATACTGAAAAAACTTGTCATATTTGGTGCTATAATATTCCCGCATCTGTTTTGACCATATCCAGATTTACATCTATTTAAAGAAAGATATATGAATATTTAATGTTAAAAATATCGCAATAAATAATAAAATATTTCATAATAGTGCTACATTTTTAGTCCAAAGCGGGTTTGTCCCTGAAGATCTATTGCTTTCGTTTTGCGATTTTGCGTCGAATCACTATAAATGTCCGTTTCACCTTTTCAAACTGTTGCCATCGAATGTTAGAGTCCTGCATTATATTTGAAGAAATTAAATAATGAAAAATCTGCATAAATGCATGTCTATTTCTCGCATTGTGATAAAACAATTGTACATAGAGCAATCAAATTTTGAATGACGTCATCCTCCTACGAATATGGGCATGTGGAAGACCAAATTTAAAATTTGGAATTTGTTTTATGATCGATTTCATATTTTGTAAAAGTTTGACGAATTTTTGCTTAACCAACTCAAGGATTTCAAAGTGAGCAATGGCAACACTCTACAGGGAAAAAAAAACAAAAAACCTTTTTATCTCCAGGGCGCGGAACTGTGTATCGGAAATTCTAAAGATAGGCTCATTTTCAAATTATTTTGCGATATTGTGTTGAACTGAATTTTATGGTTTAAGTGCAAAGAGCATGATATTTAATAAATAAAGGTAACACACAAAACGTTAAATAAACGCCCCTTTGGACGTAATTTAAAATCTGAAAACTTTCAGATTTTTTTGTTAATTATAATTAATTCCAACTATTCAGATTTTGCAAGAATATAAGTAAAATGAAAACATCTGTTTACAGAACAGATTTCAGAGGCTGTTCGCACGTTTTCAGACGATTTTCGTTGTATTTACTGAAATAGTTCACCTAAAAGTCTTGTATTTTAAATGTTCGATTTGAAAACCCTTGTTCTTCAGTACCTTTCTAGACAATAAAGACGTTTATACTATCGGAGAGGTATTTTATCTCATTTCCTCACGAACTGCTTTCCAAAGGCCATGAAGGGTTGCAGGTCGACTTTGGACAATCCGCTCTTAAAAGTCAAACAGCGCAAAAATCCATGAATAACATAGTAAGTATCTGAGTGAAGAGTATGGCTTTGGCACCCCTTTTCTTGTTCCATTTTTTTCCAGAAAATTAACAGTGGATTTCGACGTGCAACTACATGCTTTGTTTTGATACAGTTTTACTGATTGATGGCATTGTGGGTAAAGAGAAGGTATTTCTATTTGAAAATTGGGTATAGCATATATTCCTGATAAATCACCAACAAACATAAACCCTTCTGAAAAACTTCCTGTAGATTCTTTGAATTATGTTTTAAGATTTTTTTTTATCTGTGAATGATAATAAATTGACCTCATTTTATTGCAGACATTTATAAACACCCAAAATTTATTTATTGTGACAAGAGTTTTCCATTTTTATCAGAATAAATGCTCCCCATAGAGAATTATGCATCGCATTCTGCGTTCGGCGATATGCCTTAAAGAAAGAGAATGCACATTAAGTTTTTTTGACTTTTTAAAATTCAAATCGGCTTAACTCCTTTGTTGTTTAAACTGAACAAATTAATAATTTTGCAACTGTCCTTCGACTAATTTTCTTGCAACATTTGAAATATTCTCTTTCCCCCCCCCCGAGGAAAAGTATGAATATGTATTTGGAACAATATTTCTATTTGAAGCCAAACTTTGACGTTCTTTCCCTTTCTTGTTGACAGTATTACCTATCGTACCTTTAAAAAAAATAAAAACACAAAGAAATCCCCATGTACCATTAAGGATCACATGGGATTTATGGAAGTAAGTATGAAACACAGTACATAATAATAAACTATAAAAGAAAAATTTAAAGCAAATTTATGAAGGAGTACAAAAGTTTCCAATTAATTAACAAAAATAATCAATAGCACTTCTCTCGGAAATAAACTGATAAAAATCTGAAGGCTAGTTAATATTTTTCAGTGCCATTATCAAGATCGTTCTTTCACTAGCATATTTAGAACGTAGAAGAAGTATGTGCTCAATATTTTCCTTGTTGCCGACGCTGCAATCGCAAAATGTCCCAGGACCCAACTTAAATATACTCCGATAACTTTTCAAATCTTCGCGGCCAGTAAGAAATTGTGTCACTTTATAATTTGCATAAAAATGATATCATGGTAATATCATTTTGATGGAAGGAAAAATTTTCTTAGTTAAATTCCCTTTATTTGAACTAATGTATTCTTGATCCCACAACTCCAGAATACTACCATTCAAGATCTTCTTATAAAAGAATTTAGACATATTCAAGACTGTTCATGTCGCGGTCGGTGGCAATCTTTGCAAGAAAATCAGCTCGTTCATTCCCACCAACTCCTGTTATGCCCATGAACAACTTAAAAAAAAATTGCGAAACTAACTGAAGAGAGAAAAAACTTTTCAATTATAGAAATAAAAGTTATTTACACGCAGGAGGGAGCTCTTTTAATCAAGCGACACACTCCTCCATTACGGCAAAACATTCCCGGACATTCTGCAAAGAAAATAAAGAGCAAAATTAGACATTTCTTTAATAAATCAATTTTAAAACATATTAAAAAAGTTTCTATAAAAAGGGATATCATGATAATACAGCATTTGTTAGAAACGTTCTCAAGTTAAAAAATCTGATGTGTACACCACATGACTTTTTTGTACGGAATACTAAATTATACGCATTTTTTCTTGCATTTCATTTAAACTTATTGGATTGAATTAAATCTACTTCGCCGACAGCGCATAAACCACAATAGAATAAATGCATTCTTTAAAATTCACTCTATTTGTTTACCATAGCGACACTCTGGCGCTAGGTTCACTTAACAGTATTATATTTCGTTCATATTACAACTCAGAATGCACAAAATTTATATCATTTAAAGAATTATCTAATCGTTGCCACATGTTCTATTCAAATGCTACAATAAAGCTAGAACGATGTATAAAAGAAATTAAGCAAACAAAACAAAAAGAAACAGTTGTTCACAGACGATTGAGTATTTCTCATTCAATTAATTCAGTTTTCACTTCGCGACAAGGCAAAAATACATCAAAACTCAAAATATCTGTTTTAAAAATTACGAAGTAAATCTTAAACACGTATTTCCTCGAAAAAATTTCAGAAAGGATTAAGCATGATTTAATTCGCAATAATAAATGAAGGCGTTATCTTTGTTGTTGCGAAGCTACGTTTTCTAGATTGGCAACAAATCCACTATCCTGCTGTTTCAAATGTAAACAAGCAATGGCCGCCATCAAAAAAATTATTAGGCTTAGCGGCACTTAGACAACTTAAAAATTGTTGATAATTCTAAAAATATTGCATACAGATTTACTAAAGGCATAAAAACCTTAACCGGAAGATAAGAAGACCATAATTCAATCATTTTTAAAGCAAAAAATGTACAATGTACAAACATATAAGAGTAAAGAAACTGAGATCACTGAGCCGGGTAACAGAGTGGATATATATATAAATATATTTATATACGTTTGGTGCGGCCGATTGCAACCAAAATACGAGGTGCACATCTACATGTTATAGCAGTCCTTTATACAAAATTTCAACGTTCTGAGGCTACTCGTTTTTGAGTTATGCGAGATACATACGTACGTACATACGTTCGTACAGATGGCACGAAAAATTCTCTTCAGAATTCCTTTTAAAGTAGTTTTATAATTTTTGGGGAGGAAAAGAGTATTTTATTCTTTACTTACATACAGATATCACGGAAAAACATCGTTAAATTGCATTCGATAGCGGTCAAAATGGATATTTTCGTTGAAATATGCTGCCTGAAACTTTTCGCAATTACAATACTTCCTTTTTACTTCGCACAAGGAAGTAAAAATATTCTGATTTTTAAGGGATTTATAAATAGTTCTTTTAAAAATCTTACGAAGTTTTACATCTTTTTTCCAAAATTATATTAGGAAAGGCATTTTAATAGTTTTGGTACCAAAGCACACCTAGAGCACTTTTCTAATTATTTTTACCGTATTATATTTCATTTGCTACAAAAAGGAAAATATCAGTCATGCATACTACCCGTAACCTGAGATATAGCTGACACAATTCATGTGAAGTGGAGATAATTACGTTATAATAGTTCGATAACTGAGACTGTTATATTAGTAATAATAGAGATGAAGAATTCCATTTATTAATTTTAAATTGCTTAGTTTGCTAATCTATAACATTTAGGGAAAACATTAAAAAATTAAATATCTTACGCTTTACCGATTGGCAAGGAAGGTAAAAATATTTCGTTTCGAACAGTGGCGACACATTTCTTAGCTTGTTAATGAGATGTATTCCGATGACCTCAGAGATCACGTGACTTATATATCGCTAATTTAAACAAATAATATAGATGACCTCAGAGATCGTATGATTTATGTATAACCTATTTAAACAAACAAGGTTATTCTTCCTCTTCTTTTCTTGTGAAATGTACCTGTATGTCATGCCGCCCAACCGGTATAGTGGTTAGCATACCTGACTGCCGTACCGAAGGGTCCGAGTTCGAATCCCGGAGAAGGCATGGGTGTTTGTAAATGGATAGTGTCCGTACGGCATGCAGGCACTCTAAATATGCGGCTAGGCAAATAGTTTCAAAATTCAAACAAAAGATACTACCGTATTCATTCCGTTGGGAACCATTGAGTACAAAACTCTATTGCAGAACCGTTTAGTTTAATAGATGTTTACATAGAATGGAATTTTATTCATTGCAAACATGTAGCTCTCATTTCGACATTCATTGAAATTTTGTTTAAAGCTTCCCGGCAGTATGCCACTGGACTACGTCAGCGATTTATTACTTTGACCAAGCGTTAGGTCTTTAAGTAAGACTAAATCAACCCTAAATTAATATGTTCCTAACATATGATATAGGTCTTAAAGCATTAAAATATAAAATAAAGATTTGTGTCTGGCGAAAATAACTTTAAAATTAGATCTCCTCAACAATTTACAAAAATTCCATAAAGAATCTAGAAGGTCTAGAATTCCATAAATGGAAACTACACTAAAATGTTACAAGCAATTATAATAAGTCTGGCTTACTATCCTGATAGACTCTCAACATTTCAATGGGAAGCTCATAATCTACTGAATACTGTCTCTTGAACATAATGCCGAGATTCTTCCATTGGCGAGATTCTCGCCACTAATGGAGAGATTCTTCTGTTGTACAACAATATGAATCATTCGTATTTACGCGTGACTTGAGTTTGCATAGCGTTCTTGGTCTCAGCAAATATTTCTGACATAAGGAAGACAAAATAAGGTAAGAGGGAATTTAAAACTTAAACGATTACATGAAACAAAAATAAAAATTGTGTCACGAAGAGTTAACAGTACATTACGGTACGCTAGAGATGAAGCTCAGAACTAGGCTAAACGCTCTTACAAGTTTCATACTCCACTCTGGGGTTTTCCAAGGAATCGCGGTCCTAGTGAACGAGCTGGGGCGACAGACAGCAAAGCCACGTTAAAAGTCGCAAATTAAGGGAAGGGACTACATCAGTCATCCCCAGATACTTCAGGTGAAAGACAACAAAGTCAAGCTAATTTTAACGTCGGGTCAACGTCGGGCAACCGGGCCACGGACTGGCTGCCAAAGTGAGGGGCTAGGACATCGACTAGACTAAAACAGTACCCTTCAGCACCCCTACAGCGAGAGATAGCAAAGCTAAGCTCTGAATAATGCAAATCAAGTCAACCAGGCACCAAATGGTCAAAACAAATGACTACATCAGTCTACCCGATGCGACCGACCAGTGCCAGATTTACGTATAAGCTGCAAGCTATAGCTTAGGGCCTCCACTTTCTTGGGGACCACCCCCAAAAATTGTACCATATAACATATAAAACATTGCCTTATACCCCCTCATAAAGAGCCCCATATCTCAAACAGCTCAGCATCTCGTCAAATCTAAATCCAGTCCTGCGACCGACGGGGGCAATACTCCGAGGACAGCCTTAATATTTAATATGTAGCGACCCCACAGACCAGTGGCAGACAAGACAGTTCCAGTACAGTCCGTCCGAGCCTGACTTTACCACCGAATGATCAACGGTCTTGTGAGGAAAACTTATATTCCCGTGGTGCCGAGGCTAAGTACAGACTCCAGCCAGCACTTCGAGGGTAAACCTGAGTCGACCCCAGGGAAATACCGAAGGAGAAACAATAGTTATTTACAAATCAAGTAAACAGACATTGTAGACGCTACTAAGTTTACTGGAGAAAGAAGCTTGAAAAATCAACAGTACCTTCTTCTGGATTTCAATCAAGGATCTTCTAGCTTGCTAACTGGACATGCTATACTTTTACATCCCAAAAGCACAGGAAATGCGGTCTTTCCTTAAAAATGTTTCTTTAATACCAATGATCAGCATAAAATAGTATAACCGAAATCGATTTAATTTATATGAAGTATATAATAATAAACAAACTGCGAACAGATTCCAACTCAGTAAGAATTAGAATTGTACTTACTGCCACAAATGCTTTCGTCAGATCCATCAGAACAATCGTTTACACCGTCACACAGCTTATCCCTCGGTACACAGGGAATTGGGCTTTTGTGCTTGCAGAAGAAGAAATTTTCGGCACATACACTTGAATTCTCTAAGGATTGCAAAAAAGGATAACGTAATATAAAAAGTGATGTTGTTACATTATAATCTGTTACTTTAGGACAAGCACTTCAAGGCCCTCCTTCAAAAAATTATGTGCCTCATAAGCATAGTAACTGCGGCGGGGAAAAGGCCGAATGTTGTAATTCGCTAAAATCTTCTAATTCTCTCTGCAAGGTGATGACGATACGAGTTACGATCGTAAGTGAGGGTAGGGTTGTTACGACCTTGAAGTGCCCATTTTAATGCAACAGCCAATAATATAGTAACTATGTAGGTAGATATAAAATTGTTCGGTCAGATGTAATTTCAAAAGAATTTAAAAGAAATTTTAATAATTTATTTTTTAATATAACGTTCTTGTACTTCAATATGCTTTTGCCAGCGTTTAGTGTGTTCCTGAAAAAAGCAATTTGAATGTTTTTCCTCAAAATGTTCCATAACTGTTCTATTCATACCAACTTCATTATTCAATCTTTCCATGAGTGCCAGATTAGAATCGATAATAAAACAAATTCGAAATTCAAAATTCGGGCTTCTAGATGTCCATATTTGGGTTGAGAACTACGTTATTCAAAATTTGATGGATCTAGGTACCGTTGTTTCACGATACCTAGAGCATGCATTCATACAGATTGTTCATTTGTTAATTTCTTTAAATATAATTTGGGCAATAATATTTGGTGGCAACAATTTGCTTTCAGAACCATTTCAGATTTCAGCTCTTTCTAATGTAGGATTACGTTCCTCAGCAACGGTCTGATGAGAAAGTAAAAATTAAGATGCTATTTGAGGTATGCTCGAATGCTCGTATAATCAAAACTTCAAATGTTGTAATCAACCTAAACACATCATTTTGATAGATGAAAGAGCACATTAGCAAACGAAAAACATAAAAATTGGACGAAGAGTTAGGCTTAGTAACGCGTCAAAAATAGCGCAATTTTGGTGACGTCAAAGCTCCCCGGGCGCATGCACTACCTCCTGTAAGTGGCCAAGTTGCCTGATAGGCAGTTGCGCATAGACAATCAGTGTGTTCAGGTGGTTTTTGCTGTATTTTATCCCGAATGAAAAGGCATTTTATTTTATGAAATATTATTTTAATCTCACTGCGGTGCCAAGTAACTATCGGAGTACATTTGTCAGTTCATTTGTAGATTTAACATTTACTAGGAATAAATCTGCAGACATTTTAAATTATATATCCGATTTCTCATATCATCGGCCAGTTTTTCATAGGGTCATTTTGAATAATTAAATGTAATAAATAAAAAAGGGTTAAAAAAGGTCAACGTTTTGTGTGTTACTTTTATTTATTAAATATCATGCTCAACGTACTCAAACTATAAAATTTAGTTCAACAACAATATCGCAAATTAATTTTAAAATGAACATATCTTTAGAATTTCCGATACAGAGTCTCGCGAGCTGGAGATAAAAATGTTTTTTTTTCGTACAGTGTTACCTATGCTCGCTTTGAAATCATTTAGTTTTTTAATCAAAAATTCGTTGAAGTGATACAAAATCTGAAATCGATCATAAAACAAATTTCAAATTCAAATTAGAGCTTCAACATGCCCATATTCTCCCGAAGATTACGTTATTCGAATTTTGATGGCTCTAGGTACCGTTGTTTTATAACAATGCGAGAACCATACATACATTTATGCAGGTTCTACATTATTTAATTTTTTTAAATATAATAAAGGGTTCTAATATTTGGTGGCAAAGGCTTGAAAAGTGACACAGCCTTTTAAAGATTTTGACGCAAAATGCCAAAACGAAATTAATAGTCCTTCAGGGCAAGATGCCCTTTTGGACTAATAAAATAATGTGCGTGAAAAATCTTTTGTTTGTTTTATTTGTGCTATAATATCCTCACACTTCCGTTGGATTCTTTAAACTAAAAGAGAGAACCTACTTCCAATTTTCTTTACAATAATGTTGCACTTCTTTAATTATAATGATTTATTACCACATCCATATTTTTCATCTGAACCATCAGGGCAATCTGGAACTCCATCGCACACCAAGAGAGCAGGAATGCATGCCTTGCCATCATCGCAGAGTTTATGACCTTCCTCAGGACATGGTTTCTGGGGTTTCTCTGTTTCGGTAGTGTGTTTTATATACGGTATAATGGTGCTAGGAGTTGTCAAAGCTGAAGGAGAAAAATGTGATTATTTATAAATAGAATAAGTAAATAAGCTTTCAACAATTGTTAGAATATATAAAATGGTACCAAAATTTCACCGATTATATGCAAAGGATATCATTTACAAAGGCCCACCAGCGACTGAGCGGTAAAGTCGCTGAACACTGGCAGTTCGGTCCGATGTTCAAATCCCGTGAACGGGCTGGCTGCATGGGCGTTTTCGTGGGTTCCCCCATGTGTAAGGTGTATACGAGCCAGTTTCCCTTAGAAACTCCTCCACGAAGGCATCCCTTCCCTTAGGCAGATAGCCCTAGTGTGCTTTGCCATAATTAAATACACCAACATTTACAAGTTGCGGAAGGAAAAGTACAATGATTACTTTACAAAACTATTCCATCGGTGAACCATTAAAAGAAGAATACAATTTTTTTTTCTAAATCTCAGAAAAATTCTGTATTAAAAATATGTATATATATTTGACGTGGATATCACATAACTTCTAAAAGTGTTGTTTCTGTCTTTGAAAGAAAAATTTTGAGAAGTATTTTTGTTGGCATAAAATGTTGCAATATCTCGAGAAGAAGAACTAACTCTGAACTCTATAAATACTTTAAAGAAACAGATATAGTAATATATATGTTTTCAGAAAATTAAATGGACACGACACCTGTGCGGAATAGATGAAAATCGAGTAACTAAAAAGATCTTCTCGGCCAAAGCATTCGGAACCCGAAGAAGAAGAAGACTTAAACTTAAATGCTCGACTGTTTGGAAACAGACTTAGGAATTTTAAAAATAACCAACTGGATGTTCATGACCAGAGATAGAAGAGCTTGGAATTCGATTCTGAGGAAGGCAAGGGCCCATCCTGGGCAGTCTGGCCATTGAAGAAGAACATCACATGACTTCCTTGTACGACCCATTAAATTATAGGTATTTTTTGCTGCACGCCGCTTTCGCTTAGATATATTTCTTCGAATTTCATTATAGATATATTTTGCATTCAATCAATTCAATTTTCCTTTCGCGGCAAGGCCCTCCCCCCCAAAAAAAAAACAATAAAACTTAAGACACCAATTACAGTTTAAATAGTTGAAAAACAATTTTTGTAATTAAAATTAGAGTTTCTAGTCAAAAATAATTCCACCAATGGGCAGAAAGGCAAAATTTTTGATGCACAAAATCGAAAGTTAACATTTGGGCTCACTCGGCAAAAAGACACTGACGTTTGTGCCATACTGACTTAATTCACTACACTAAAAGTCTCAACTGTAAGTAAATGGCGGCTTCGTTAAGCTTAACGTCATTCAAACCTTTAAATTGTAGGTAATTCTAGAACTATTGCATGCAAGTTATTAACTAAATGCATAAAAACCTTAACCGGAATATAAAAACAACATAATTCTATCATTTTTAAAGCAAAACATGCACTATTTACCAACATATAACAATAAAAATCTGAGCCATCGGGTTCGAGATCGAACGAAACGGATTTCGTTGAAGTATGATATCCGAAATTTTTCTCGATTTCAATACCTCCTTTATTTCGTACAAAAAAAAGTAAAAAACACATTGCCTGTATTGTTAGATTTTAGATGAAATTACTTAAATTAAAACAAATCGCACTAAACCGACTAAATTTAAACGTATTAAGAATTCATTTTCCCGAAAAATTGTAAAATTATTATGCACAAAAAGTTTCACATTTTGCATATTTCTTCACTTAATTATACTTTTACCTAATAATAAAACCTGATTAGGATTTGTGGATGGTAAGTGACTTTTCTTTATCGTAACAAGTGTGAACATTTCTCACGGAAATGTAATCTGCCATATATTTAAATAGATCGTAACGTCCTATGATAACGAAAATATTTGTTCAAATTTAATATGACCGTCGTCACTTGTATTTTTTATACACTGTCATGTTTTAGATACATACGAAGAAATTTAGGAAATATTTTGCACATTATATTCTTTCCCTTCTAGGATTCAAACGTAGTAAGATGAAACAATTACTTAGAGATATGGGATGTGCTTTTCACCGTTAAATTTGCTTTAAATAGTCAGGGCTAGACAAAGACTGCCCTGAGAAGAGAAAAAAACCATCCAAGTGAAGTTCTATCTACACTCTAAATTTCTGGGGGGGGGTTCAGCGATTTCCCTCTCTTCATTTCTGAGTTTTGGATGATGTATGTAGCAAATTTTGAACCAAAAAATTGTGGAATGAACCGGTAGGAAAGAAACCAAGTTAACAAAGAATCAATATCGGGAATGTTGTGTCATTTTGATATTTTTCTTCATCGGATAATCTAAGTCATATCCGATTATAAATTTATTAAGAATTTTTTAAAGAGTCAATTTGCAAAACAAAATTGCTATTGTTTTTATTGATAAAGGTGTTTTACTACTTCGAAACAGTTAATTTACACTCATGTCCATAAATTAAGGATAATGCAAAATTAGGCAAAAGAAGAGTTAGAAGCGAAACAAATTTGACTTTTTATTAAACAAAGTTTATTTATTAAGTTTAGTTAAGTTTATTTATTAAACAAAAGGTAAAGAGTAAAAAAAGATGCTATATGTTTGATATTATTAAAAAAATAGCGATTTTTTCTCCCTGGAGCAAATTACAAAAAAAAAAAAAAAAAAAAAAAAACCTATTTACAAAAAAACCAATATTACATGGTTGGTATGATTGTTAATACATTATATGTCTCCCAGCTGATGCAGTACAGTCCGTACAACGCCTAGGAATGCTGAGTATCAAATTATCGATCTGATCTTGGGGAATATTACACCACTCAAAAAGCAATGCTCTCCGAAGTTCCGGTAGACATGTAGGAGGAGGTTGACGTGCTGCAACTCGTCGGCCAAGCATGTCCCACACGTGCTCTACTGGATTCAAGTCCGGTGAGAATGCTGGCCAGTCCATACGGGTGATATCCTCGATTGAAGGCATTCGCTTACGATGTTTGCACGGTGAGGACGGACGTTGTCATCCATAAACACAAATTGTGCGCCCATGGCGCCCCGAAACAAACGTACATGTTGTTCCAGAATAACGTCCCGATAGATTTGGCTTGTCATGGTTCCAATTTAAACATGCGGGTCAGTTCTGGAACCCAGAATAATTCCACCCCAAACAAGCACTCCTGCACCACCGTAACGGTGTCGTTCAATGATGTTTTCTTGGTGGTAACGGGTACCTGGAGCTCTCCATATGAAAGTCCGACGAGAATCAGACTGCAAGCTAAACCTGGACTCGTCGGAAAACTTCACACAAGCCCACTGTTGCGGTGTCCACAATGCATGCTGTCTACTCCAGGCTAACCGCAGGCGACAGTGAGTTGCAGTAAGTGGAACGCATCTGACAGGTCTACGAGCATATAGACCAATCTGCCCTAAGCGTCTGTACACGGTCTGCTTTGAAATTGTCGTACCAGTGGCTGAAGAGAGCTGACGAGACAGGTCTGAGGCTGTGCTCCGCCTGTTTCTTTTGGCAGTAACTGTCAAATACCGGTCCACATTCGGCGTTGTAACTCTGGGGCGACCTGTGCTGTAACGTCTACTCACATTACCTTTATCTTGGAATCGTTGACAAAGCCTGGGGATTACACTCTGGGCAATTCCAAGTTCGTCTGATACTTCCAGTTGGATACGCCCATATTTCAGACGGCCGATAATTCTACCACGTAAAAAATCATCCAAATGCGTCCTTTGTGTCATAACTATTCGGTTATTGCACTGAAATGCTTATAAAGCGCTTGCGAACAATTTTACTTCTTTGCCTGTATTCGTTATATATCACTCTCTTACACTCTCGTCATTGTGACGTACCATCGGCGTCATCTTGTTACTTCCTGAAATTTGCATATGATTCTTGAAGATGTGTGTAGTGATTTTACAGGTGATATATTTATTTTAGAGTTCGATTTCCGCGTGACTCCGAATTATCTTTAATTTATGGACATGAGTGTAAATTATTTTGCAGAATTAAAAAGCTCTGAGGCTAGTAAAATTCACAACTTCAGATTTCTTTTTAGACAGGAGATTTGGTTTGTCTATTTTGAAAGCAGCTGCTGAATATTATTTTAAACTATTACTTTTTAACTATTTTAAACTGTAACTGGGCATAAAAAGCGACTGAACAAGGAGGAGAAAATTTCCTCTTCTTGAGACACTTCTCTATTTTTAATCTAATATCGATATAATAACCTACGCTTTTCTCACCCATGTTTTCTACTGAGCCCATCGCCTTTCCTTTCGCTATTCAGTTAATTTATCCTCGTATGAGAGAAGAATGCTCGTAAAAAAGTGTACAGGGTGGTCATAAAAATTTCCCCGATATAGGAACCCTGGTGCCCTCAACCAATTGAAATGCAATTTCGAATATTGTTATTTGCAGGTATGAACTCGAGATTGATATGATTTAAAACAAAAGAGCTCTCTCGTTTAGGGTTGCAGTGAAAACTTCGAATTTCGAAACCCCCATTTTTCCAGCGCAAATTGGCCAGCCCATTGAAAAACCATAAGTGGCGTTAGAACGATAAACGTATGATGAAAATCAATTGCGCAAAATATTTGCAAAGGAGAGGAACCCAAGAATCAGTGGAAAAAAAAAACTTTTATTAAAATTTCAAGTTTTCAATTTCCCACTTTTGCAGACGATAACATATTGCATGCGGGAGATTGTTGATAACTATGATGGATGTAACACGCAGGAGGAATCAGTATAATTTAACAATTTAACGTTTTAATGGCATTTTTCAAACCTCACATACATCGTGAATTTGATGTGCACACCTTAGATTTCAGATAACCTCAGAACCAGAAATCCATCGAAGGTGAGGCTGTAGATCAAGGTGACTACGAATCAACAAATTTTACGGAAGATGACTCTACGAGATCTAACTCTTTTAGTTACCTATTATTGCGTGCGTACGGGTTCGTAATAAGTTGAATGCACAAGTCCGGTGAAAAAAAAATATTCTTTTCCCAAGAATAAATACAAAATGCTTAAATTTTCTCAGAGATTTTCGTACAATATAGCAATATCTCACAGTAGTTATATTTTAAGCTACTAAAACATTTTACAGAATACCATTCAAAGCAGAGAAAGCTAACCCCATTTCACTGCGAATCCACTACAGTAAACAACAAAGTTTTCTAAACAACTGAATTGAGATGTTTTCCTCCAGCTTTTAAAAGCTTTTTAATCACGCACGAGAGTATTCTGGTAAAATCTATTTTCTCGATTTTTCTGCATAGCAAAACAGTACAATTATGAGGTATTTCTCCCGCTTTCCTAGCGTACCTTCATGGTGTAGTGGTTCTGCACGCTGGGCCGGTATTCTAGAGGTCCGTGGTTCGATTCCCGGTGAAGGCGGTTGCTAATTTTTCATCTCTCTTGCTTCCAAAAAATCCTGATGTCTCTACACAATTACGAGATGTCTATTTATTAAATGTTAAATGCACGTGCTCTTGCATTTTTAATTTTCCGGCTTAGTTTTCTCTTAATATTCGTTACGCTCTGCACTGTACGGGGAATAAAATAATTTAATTTATAATTCTACAAACGTTAGCTGTTTAAATACCAAATCTGTAACAGTACCATGCAATGTGCCTAGATCTCAATGTCAAAAACCTTGCGACTTCTTTCACAGGCGTAATAATGAACACAACGAGGAAAGGGTGTAAAAGCCCTTTTATTGATCACAATACTTTAACAGAAAGGTACAGACTTACATGCTTAACAGTAGCAACGAATGGTTGCGGTGAGAAGTTAAAAGTAATTTAACAATGAATTCAAAAGGTAAGATGCAGTGATAGACTACTCAATTTAATTTAATCTAACAGGCTGATTCAGAAATCTACACCAACGATATATTAGCTAGACGACCAGAATGTGTAGTCGCTACTAAGATTAACAGCTGGAGGACAAAATAGAAAACGTGCGCTTCAATAGCGAAATCACGCTCTGTCTAGCCTTTTTGTTTCAACCGTTTAAACATTCTCGTTCGCCTACTTAATTTGCATCTTGGCAAGGAAATATGAGGGTAAATAAGAGAATTCAGAAAAGATACCAAAATTAAAATAACTGGTTAGTAAAACTCAGTGGAAATCTATAACTCTCCTCAAAGTGTTGTTGCAGCACTTGTGCAACACGTGTGGCGACGTGTGGAAGAGCACCCTCTTGCATCCAAACAATGGCATTTCACTGTTATAAATCTGCAACATTGTTGCATAGAATATTTGTGATGGAGCACGTTTTCATACCTGCGGAAGTGACCTCTTCGAAGAAGTAGACATCGAGAACGAATGTGCTTCCAATGCCAGACCACACAGTCACTTTAGTTTCGTGTTGTTAAGTTTAGGATTATGTATCCTTAGATTGCCAATAGATGGCGGTAGTGTTTGTTTGTAAAAAGAAACTGTGATGTCATAATTATGTATATGTATGAGTTCGTCTTTGGTGTTCGTCAATAAACGTTGTGTGGAATAACACTCCTCTGTTTATTACTGTACATTCGATCCAGTCTGATTTATTAAAGACTTGCACATATTTTGTTTATGAAACTAGAATCTACAAGATCTCAGTTGATTAAAAGATGGAAGCATAGGCAATTAATATTAGAGCATTTTTGGAAAAGGTTTTATAAAGAATATTTGTTAGAATTAAGATTAGTCATGTTTTCAAAACCTCCAAAGAATTCTCCCGTGTTTAAAGTTAATGATGTTGTACTTGTACGAGAAGATCATGTGAAACGCTGTAACTGGAAGATAGGTAGGATTAATGAATTATTTCACGGAAGAGATGATAGAGTTAGATCTTGTGAGATTCAGTTGTATAAGGGTTTTGTTAGAAGACCAATTGAAATACTTTATAATCTTGAAGTTCAGTAAAATTGATGCATCTGTTTACGGATGCATGGGGGGGGGAGTGTTAAGTTTAGGATTATGTACCCTTAGATTGCCAATAAATGGCGATAGTGTTTGTATGTAAAAAGAAACTGTGATGTCATAATTATGTATATGTATCAGTTCGTCTTTGGTGTTCGTCAATAAACGTTGTGTGGAATAACGCTCCTCTGTTTATTACTTTACATTCGATCCAGTCTGATTTATTAGAGACTTACATATATTTTGTTTATGTGTAAAGGCACTGGTGCCACATCGTGAGAATTTTCGTCAGCCCAGTGAACATAAATGGAGAACACACTTCATGCTGATTTTCCTTTTACTATTTAATACTTTAAAAAAATTCTGAAACTATTTAAAATTTGTAAAACCTTTTTTTTAAATATTACTTAAAAATTACGAATTTGTAAATTAGAATTTATTTAAACTTCGAATTGTAATTCTTTTACTTTATTAGCTTTCTTAATTTAATTTGAAATATAAGAATTTTAATTAGGAGTATTCCCCTTTAATTATATATACATTACTTAAATCCATGTCAAGAAATAATGAAAGTAAATTAACTCACATCTGGTAGTAGGACACGCCAACTCTGAAAAAGTAAAGAAATGAGATAAATAAAATTACGAAATGAGAAATAAAATTTAATATGCTGAGCAAACAAAAAAAAAAAAAAAAAAAAAAAAAAGTACGCATTTGAAAAGAAAAGGGAAAAGGAAGATACAAATAATTTCTCTGTACCGCAGTCTTCTTCGTCACTTCCGTCATCACAATCATTGGAACAATCACATCTCCATGCAATAGGTATGCAACGAGTAACAGACTTGCATAAAAACTCATCGTTTCCACATAAGGATGTAGGTCTAACTCTCCTAATCGCCTCCCCTAGAGATAGAAGATCATGTATTAATTGTCGCTACGAGAATAAAGGTAATATACGAGAATAAAGGTAATAACTATACGAAGTGCTCCTACAGGTGGATTACGAAGTTACAGCATTAATGTTACACTACACTAATGCCGTGATTTCGTAATCTAATACTCAAGTCACATACTGGAGGTCACAATTCCAATATTCCTTCTTTTAAGTAAAATATCTGAACTGTATACCATCGTTGAGTAACTCTATTTGAAAGCACTTAGAATATGTACAGTGAAGACCTGAGTTTTAATTCTTTACGAATTTCAGGTTTTATAAACATCATCTTTATTTGAAACTGTTTTTGATGTGATAAGCCTTTAAGTGGAGTTTTAAGGAATGCAATCAATTTCTTTTGAGAAATAAACCGAGAATTTCCTTGACCTTCTATGAAGAGGATAAAAATGAGGCATATTTACACAAGGTTTTTTAAGCATGTGTTGGACAGGCACAATTTTCTTTCAGACGCACCAAAATACGAACTTTCCTGGACGTTTCTTTTTTCTGTGGGGAGATTTAAGGGCTCATTAAAATTTGGGGCAATAATCAGGTTGTGCTTCCCCAGTAGTATTCTGAAAATCCATTAAAAAAAAAAAAAAGATTTCAGATTTTATATTACGCCCTCTTTATAAAAGGGGCTCTTTTTTTTAACGTTTTGTGTACTACCCGTATTTATTAAATATCATGTTCTTCCCACTTGTTATGTCGTGGAGCAAAAACAATTTTACTTTACACCTGATTGCCACTGGCTCTGACATAGCAATGTGAATACTCTACATCTAAAATTTTAAAATACCATTCCAGAATTTTAAATGTTTATTTTATAGAATTCTATTCATATATTTGCAAGTTATATACTATAAACACAATAACAAAAATTTAAACTTATCTGCACCAGCATGAATAAGCCTGGCATAATATTCTGAACTCGACGCAACTTTAGGAGGAAAAATACCGCAAATTCAAACACAAGGTTTCATCCTTTCCAACGCAGCTAATTTTCTAAATATATTTTACTAATATCCGCAGCGGTGCAGCGAATTCCATTTCATTCACCCAAAACTCAAATGTTTTAACGCAATAGTATCGCAAAGGAAACATCGACTCAAAATCAAAATATTAAAATCTATAGAATATCATCCGCTGTTGCCATTCCAGCACTGCCAAGTTTTTCTTCCTGCAGCTGTTGCCAGACTTATCCTCGCTGTATGTGAGAGGTACAACACCACTTAAACCATAAAAATCAATTCAGCAGCAGTATCACAAAATAATTTAAAAAAGAGCATATCTTTAGAACTTCCGATACACAGTCTCGCGCGAGATAAAATGATTTTATCTCCAGCGCGCGAGACTGTGTTTTTTTTTTTTTTTCCCGGTATAGTGTTGCCATTGCTGGCTTTAAAATAATTGAGTTCGTTAACCGAAAATTCGTTAAAGTTTTACAAAATATGAAATAGGTAACAAAGCAAATTCCAGATTTGAGCTTCCAGATGCCCATATTTGGGTGGAGGCATACGTTTTTCAAAATTGAATGGTTCTAGGTCCCTTTGTTTTATCACAATGCGAGAAATAGACATACATTTATGCAGATTCCTCATTATTTAATTTCTTGAAGTGTAATACAGGGTTCTAATATTTAGTGGCAACAATTTGGAAAGTGATACAGCCTTTTACAGTTTTCGACGCAAAATGCCAAAGCGAAATTAATAGCCCTTCTGGAATAATGCCCTTTGGGCTAAAAATATAGAAATAATGATTTTCAATAAGCTGATGTCAATGTCACATGAGCGCACAGACTTTGATATTTTTCAGGGTGGTTTCTGAAACATTACGCCATCCAAAACGTTTTGCGATTTTTGATCAATACAAATTAAGCTGTACAAAAGCATAAAAACTTTCATTGAATTACATAAACACCATTTTATTGTCTCATCTTTCGTCATCTTTGAGACAGCCGAAAAATTATTTTTTAAAAAAAGTTATTAAATTTATTTGTAAAACGTATATCGAAGTGTTGTTTAACAATAAATTACAGATGATTCAGAGAATTTTGAAAGGCCGGACGAGATAAAAATCCAAGAGGGCAAAGTCTGGTAAATGTGTGTGTGGGGGGGGGGGGGAAGACAGAAAACATTTTTCATCTGGCAATCATTGAAATGTTGGGCCCAGCTTTGACATAATGGGAGATAACAACTCAAAGATAGCTAAGTGGTTTTGCTTCGATTTATATTGCTTATTTATACTGGGATTTATACTGGCAAGACACTGCTTTTAGATCTATCATCTGAAAGCAGTATCTTTCCAAATTTATACTCTTATTTGTTGGCAACAGTTCACAGTATGCAATTCTTAGTATACCATACATAAAGCATCACATTTCAGGATGCAGCACCCGTCTTGGTGTGACTAAAGGAGACTCTTTAGGCTTGTCCCATGATCTTCTCTTGAAATGGTATTCGCTTCTTATCTCTCGTAATTAATCGTTTCAAAATAGCCCACTCTGTTACCCAGCTCGGTGAGCTCAGATTTTTTTTATTCTTATATGCTGGATTTGTATTATTTTATTATAGATTCTTATATGTGCATTTTCTGCTTAAATTATGTTATTTTTATGTTCCGGTTAAGGTTCTTATGCCTTTAATTAATCTCCATGCAGTAGTTGTAGAAATATCAAAAATTTAAAAGTGGCGCTAAGCCTAACGAGGCTGACATTTGTTTACATTTGGAGTGAATTAAGTCTATTGGTATATCAACTTCAAAATTCTGCTGCCCAGTGGGGTCAAAAGATGATTTGACATTTTGTACACTGAAAATTTGGTTATTCCTGCCCGTTGGACGATTTGTTTCTTTTGGCATAGAAACTCTAATTTTAACTGTAAAATTTGTCTTAATTGTATTTGGTGTTTTAGGTTTCTCTGCATTTTACAATTTTAATGAAGGAGTTTTGATTTTTTACGTATTTTTACCTTGCCGAGAAGTGACAACTGAATTGATTGAACAAGAAATATATCTCTAATGAAATTCGAGGAAGTAATTTTAAATACAGTGAAGCTAAAATGTGTATAATTTAATAGGCCGTAGAAAGAAGTTATATGGTGCCCACATTAGAAATTTAAAATAAAAGTTATTAAAAACGACGAAAAATTAACTTTCGTGTTCTTCATTCTTAGCACTATACTGAAACAAAATTTATACCACAATACATGATAGGATTATGCAAGGTGAGCAGAAAAGACCATATGTAAATATTCGCTTCAGTCAAGTTCACTACGCATTAGAGCAATTAGAAGACAACACGCTTCGATCAGAAAAACCGCAGAAAATTTGTCGGATGACCCAACACGTAAAGGTATGAAGATGTGATTTCCACTTTGCTTCGCTTAATCTTGTATAGTACACTGCGGGACAAAAAAAAAAAAAAAAAAAAAAAAAAAAAAGAAAAGAGAGAGAGAGAGAGAGAGAAAAGAAAAAGACACTTGGCCTACTGACGAAATTCAAATTGCGTTTTCCATGTCTTGAAAACTCAACTTAGGATATATGTTAGATTTACATATGACATTGTTCTAATATAAGTATTTCGACACAAAATCGGACCTTTTTCTGAAATGACATGCCAATTTCTTTCCGTATTTCGATTCTACGACTCAAATTTATGCCTTGGTATTAAATTTTGTAATTTTTGGGAGAAATCTATATAGAAATTTAAAAACTTGGAGCCTTTTTTTCAGTTTGAGCCAAGAATATTTCACTTGTGAACTTCTTAATTTATGGCAACCTTATTTTCCTTTCCTTTTTTTTTTTTTTTTTTTTTCATTGTACACGAGCGGAAAAAAGTCATCATTCATACTTTTAAATAATTTTAACAAAGTACATAAAATACATTTGGCGCTATTAATGGTAGTAAAAAATACACCAAATTTCAAAACGCGCCAATATGTAAATTCACGTAAATCTTAGGGAATTTTGAACGAAAAACTCTCATTTTTTGCAGATATGCTTAGAAATACCTCAGTTTTAAAGTGATGGTAAAACTTTTATAGGTTATAATTAGAAAATGTTTTTGAAAAATTTATAAAAACTATTTAAAAATACAAATTTTGAAAAAAAAAATCATAAAAAATGAGTGAATTTTATTTGGACAGAATTTAAATTTCGAAATATGAAATAAAGAATCAAATAAGATTAATTAAAAAAGAGATATTAATAAATATGTATCCAATTCAATTAACATTGAGGATCTAAAAGTTTGAGAGCTAATTTTTTAAAAACTGCTAGTACGATTTTTACAAAACTTGCAGTTTGGCATAATTTGAGTCGTAAAATCGAAATATGGAAAAACAAATGGCATGTCATTTCAGAAAAAGTCCGATTTGGTGTCAAAATACCCATATTAGAACAATGCTATATATAAATCTAATACATATTTTAAGTCGCGTACTTTTCATACTACTTTTTTTGATTTTGGTACTTTTGTACAGTACTTTTGATAATACAGTACTGATACAGTAGTTTGACTTTGCAGGAATATAGTCAGCCTTCCTACAAAGTGCCCTGACTTTTCACCCATGGACTACTGGGTCCCTAATATCATGAAAGGAACTGTTTCAATGTGCAAATCCACAAGGGTTGACGGGACTCTGGAAATTAGCGTGAGAGAAATCGATATTAATAACCCTTGAAATTTTATAAAAACCCTCCTATCGTGGAAATTACAATGCAGACATCTAATTCAGAAATCAGACATTTAAAAAAGTACTCTTTGCATTTTAAACATTAATTAAATGGCCCCGAAATCGTTCTAAAAATGTGTAAACACTGTCTGTACTTTGTTTATTGCGAAAGACACTGAAAGGAAATCGAGAATGCATTTAAGGCAATATAAACCTTAATTTCGACCGATTTTGATACGGTTTGCTTTAAATTAATGTTAAACGAATATAAAAAATAAATTTGGAAAAAAAAAAAA